ATTAATGATTCTCTCTCAGCATTGATGTTTCTATTTCTCTCTCTCCCTTCCTCTCTGAAATCAATAAAATATATATATATATTTAAAAAGTAAATGTGTATAAGTCATTCCACTCTCAGATTGGTACAACCTGTTGGAAACGATGCCGATACTCTAGAGCAGCGGTCGCCAACCTTTCGGACCTCACGGACCACCAGCTGGCGACCGCTGCTCTCGTGTGTCCGGTGGAGACCACGGTTTGTGTGTCCATCACTCCCTTAACCTGCCCTGCAAATTGGAGCAAATCAAACCCTATGTTTCTTTTTTTATTTTTCTATTTTATTTTACTTTGGCTCTTATTTTTTAAATGATGTATATGGGAGAGCTTTTAATGTAATGAAAAAAACTTTTTTTTTAATAAATGGGAAAGTTGGTAGAGCTCTTGAGAAGGTAAATTATAACAATTAAAAAGACGATGAGATGCATGGGTGTCTAATCACGAGAGTACATCATAAATAACAGTGTCTTCCTCGTACATAATATCTTCCTGGTACTCCCAGTCAGCCTGTCTCCTCGCTCTCAGGTCAATATTTCTCTCTCTCTCCCTCCCTTCTTCCCTCTCTCTCTCTAAAAAAATCATGGACAGAAGAATCCTCGAGTGACGATTTCCGCCAGGACACAGCAGCAGATTGTAGTCTGCCAGCAAGACCCGAGCTCCTCCGGCCGAGCAGCCGAGCTATCTCCTGGGAACCTGTCACGGAACGGGAATGACAGGGATTCTCTTTTCCTGTAGAGAGAGGCCTCCAATTTAAAACAAATACAGGAAAACCTCAGTGGGGTATGCTTTGAAGTTCAAGGGCCGCTTCCTCATCAGCTTAGACCCAGTCCCATCCTCAGAGAAAAGGAGGGAAGAGAGCCCTGGCCGGTTTGGCTCAGTGGATAGAGCGTCGGCCTGCGGCCTGGAAGGTCCCAGTTTGATTCCGGTCAAGGGCATGTACCTTGGTTGCGGGCACATCCCCAGTAGGGGGTGTGCAGGAGGCAGCTGATCGATATTTCTCTCTCATCGATGTGTCTAGCTCTCTATCCCTCTCACTCTCCCTTCCTCTCTGTAAAAAATCTATAAAATATATTTAAAAAAAAAAAAAAAAGGAGGGAAGAGAAAGAAACTTTTTTTTCTCCCAATGATCCCACCCACAGGTTCTGTTCATCCGCTTCTCCTGGGAACCACGGTGTGTACAGACGGTAGGGCTTCCGTCGCCATGGAAACGCGTC